ATTTTAACAGTGAGAGACAGAATAACAAAAAAAAATCCATAAAAACACATTTCAAAAAAGTTAATTGATTTGCATGTCAATGAGTGAAATAAGTATTTGACCCCTTCGACTTAGTACTTGGTGGCAAAACGCTTGTTGGCAATCACAGAGATCAGACGTTTCTTGTAGTTGGCCACCAGGTTTGCACACATCTCAGGAGGGATTTTGTCCCACTCCTCTTTGCAGATCCTTTCCAAGTCATTAAGGTTTCAAGGCTGACGTTTGGCAACTCGAACCTTCAGCTCCCTACACAGATTTTGTACGGGATTAAGGTCTGGAGACTGGCTAGACCACTCCAGGACCCTAGAGTGCTTCTTCTTGCACCACTCCTTTGTTGCCTTGGCTGTGTGTTTTGGGTCATTATCATGCTGGACTACCCATCCATGACCCATTTTCAATGCCCTTGCTCAGGGAAGGAGGTTCTCACCCAAGATTTTACGGTACATGGCCCTGTCCATCGTCCCTTTGATGTGGTGCAGTTGTCCTGTCCCTTTAGAAGAAAAACACCCCCAAAGTATTATGTTTCCACGTCCATGTTTGATGGTGGGGATGGTGTTCTTGGGGTCATAGGCAGCATTCCTCCTCCTCCAAACACGGTGAGTTGAGTTGATGCCAAAGAGCTAGATTTTGGCCTCATCTGACCACAACACATTCACCCAGTACTCCTCTGAATAATTCAGATGTTCATTGGCAAACTTCAGGCGGGCCTGTACATGTGCTTTCTTTAGCAGGGGGACCGTGCGGGCGCTGCAGGATTTTAGTCCTTCATGGCATAGTGGTACCAATTGTTTTCTTGGTGACTTTTCCCAACTGCCTTGAGATCATTAATGAGATCCTCCCGTGTAGTTCTGGGCTGATTCCTCACCGTTCTCATGATCATTTAAACTCTACGAGGTAAGATCTTGCATGGAGAACCAGACCGAGAGTGACAGTTATTTTGTGGTTCTTCCATTTGCAAATAATCACACCAACTGTTGTCACCTTGTCACCAAGCTGCTCGGTGATGGTCTTGTAGCCCATTCCAGCCTTGTGTAGGTCTACAATCTTGTCCTTGACATCCTTGGACGGCTCTTTGGTCTTGGCCACGGTGGAGAGTTTGGAATCTGATTGATTCCTTCTGTGGACAAGTGTTTTTTTTTTTATACAGGTAAGGAACTGAGATTAGGAGCACTCCCTTTTAAGAGAGAGTCATCCATTAGCAGAACTCAGCCATGTTTGCTATGACAGTGCCATTTGAACTGAAATGTCAACAAATGTTAGATCAAGCAATATATGGCAACCTACAGTCATGGTAAGTACTAAAAAATAACTACTTGCGTGACGTATTATTGGTCCAGTAACTCTGAATTAGGCCTTGGCTACTTCATGTCAAGCTGAAGGCTGCTCATCCAAAAACAACTTTTTAAAAACCCTAGTAAAACTCTTCCTGATTAATCATTCACAGACTTTATTAGTCTCTATGGGAGTAGAGGTGTTATTGAACATATGAAATGTTGGATAGGTTTTACCTTGAGGGTCATTAGAGCATCTCCTCAAGTGAGGCATTCTCCAATATGAGCGAACCTGTCTGTGAATTCATGAGCGAATGCATTTTAGGTGGCTATTAACAGTATAGCTAAAACTATCATGTGCTCAGTAGATGACATGGACATTCTCTAAATCTGGGTTGGCTAAAAGGTAAATCCTCCAGCTGTTGTGGAATGTCTCGTATCAGCCGTAACAGTGAAGCTCAATGACCAAGGGATCTCATCTTTACAGCACCTTGTAATATCCACTAATTCTAGAGAAAAGTATGCAGGCAGTGCTGATGTTTATAATTGGATAAGCATCAAAAGGTAAATCACAGAGTGCATATGGTTTTTTGGGGGGGTTTGTGGGGGGTTTCATGAGACGCAAAGCTGTATAATCTATTTTCTTCCATTTTAAGGCTCCCCTTTGGTTTTGGTTTACAACATTTCATGGTAGTTTTATTTTACATTGGAACTTGTTAGATCAGGACATGGTGCACGGACCTGATAGAAGGGTGTCACCAGTGACATGAATTGCACCACTGGTAATGCACCTCTAGGAAAAGAGGTTGCAGGTTACACTTGCTGAAGGACTGAACGGGCCTGACTGGTCGGCCCCCAACCTACAGGATCTTGTAGAGAACACCGCTGAAGCCCTTGCTGCAGAGTAATATTGCAGATTTGCTCATGCTGTGCGGCCTGAAGACAGTTGCTTGATGTCTGTACTGTCAAACTGAAATTGGAAGTGTTGGGTTGGCCTTAGATTACATGATTTCTGCCATTTTAACCATGTATAAATTTAGGTACATGTATTGAGCTGCTCTTGTAGACACAATTTACCACTATGTCACAACACTGTCAGGTTGGATCAAGATGTAAGGTCTCTTAATGTACTCAATATTATTAATATTATTGCCACTTCTATAGCGCCAACAGATTCCGTAGCGCTTTACAATATTATGAGAGGGGGGATTTTACTATAAATAGGACAATTACAAGAAAACTTACAGGAACGATAGGTTGAAGAGGACACTGTTTAAACGAGCTTACAGTCTATTGGAGGTGGCATATAAAACACATTAGGATATATGCATACTATATCTATTATGTGTATAACTGCCAGCATGATCTGTCGAAGGATACTTTGTTTTTGAATATTTCAAATGTTTTAGCCTAAAAATTTAAATGTATAAGCCTACATATTAAGGTGAATTCGGTTTGCTGTGTTTCTGGTTTTAAAGCTATTTATGAGTTGTCGTGATTGTGTTTTATTGTCCATGTATTTACTTTATGCTCATCCTGAATATTGCATTTACCTTTGGAGTTCTCTGTTTGTTTTCTAAGAAATGTGTGCATTACCAGATATGCGTGCACAAAGTCAATGCACATTCCAATGTAAGTTGGAAGCAATCTATGATATATATTTTGATCTATGATTTTGCTAGCAATTTGGCAAGCAATATACAATCCGATTTTTGCACTACTTGCAGCAGACATTTGCCATATTTATAGCTCAAGTTCAATTGTACAGGAAAGTATATTCTGTCCTATCTGAAGGTTTGAGGATGATGGGATATTTAGTCAGGCAAGTAGAGAACTAGTGATTATTTGCATAGTCTTTACTAAGTTATTTTATTCACATTAAGCATTTCTTCTTGTAATTGGCGTGTTACGACTTGTGCTGTTGTAACTTGGTTGTGTGTTTCATTTATTGCGAGTTGATATTTTAAACTCTAGTCACATTTGTGTATTTTGATTACTGTATGCTTTTATCTTGCAGGATATATTTTCCAGTACGTTTGGTCATTTAAAGAAAGAATATTCTAGAATATTGTTTGACTGGCATACATCATGACTCTATATTAAAGTGTGAATTTTGTGGAAAACCAAAAATAAGAGTTCAGAGGTAAGCCAATCAAAACATCTGTAATTTTTTTTTACTACCTTTATTAAATTGCTTCCCTCACTTCTTAACAATGAAATCCTGTAATCTGTGTTTTTGTTCGTTAAGTTATCTTTCCCCTGATTCTTGTGTGTCTTTTATTTTTATTTTTTTTCCTACTGCTTTGCTTTTATAAAAGGGGAGAGGAAACTGTTCATCACTCAAAAAAACATATTATCCATCTCTTACTATAAATGTACAGAGAAAACTACGCCTTTTTAAGTGAGCAATGTTGAACACTCAGTGCTGTCAGAAAGCACAACAGTTTCAGTGATTCTCTATGAATAGCATTCTATAGACAGAGCTAGGCTAATGCAGCCCATGCACTGTAGGAAAACAGTGCTTCTCTATGAGACGTATTAGATTGACCGAAGGGATCCTTAAAGGACAACTACAGGCACCCAGACCACTTCAGATCAATGAACTGGTCTGGGTGCCAGGTCCCTCTAGTTTTAACCCTGCAGCTGAAAAAGGTAGCAGTGAAAATGATACATTTTATCCACATTTGTTTTTAATATGTTCGTAGATGTTTGTTTATTCAGTGGACACCTTAATCGTCACCACTTGTTCCTTGTGGTTTGTCGAACCTGCCACCATTAGTCCTGGGAGCAGCCATTGCTTTCATATATTTGGCTGCTGCCAGCGGGGCATTGTTAAGTTTAGATTATCCTTTTTATTTTGTTGTACTCATCCTTTCCACGACTGAACAGTAGCAATGACTCCAGCAGGTGCAAGTCTCTGCCTCTTAGTGGCTTCATCTGAATGAAACACCTATAGATGTGAAGGATATCTTGCTATCTCTGGGGATTGTCTTTTGTCTGAATGTTCGCACTCTATTATCAGTTTATGTTGCTGTTACAAAGCGTACCGACAGTCTGGCAGACCTGCACACTTAAACTGGGAAACAACGATACAGCAGGATCATGAAAAAAAAAAAAACAACTCCCTAAACTAGCATCAAACCAGTCTCTATAGAAAATAAAACTAGGTCATGGGGCTGGGGGTTCCGCTGAAAGTTCTGATTTAATGCAAGTTTTTTTTACCTTGCTTTTCAATTTCTATGTAAATTTACTTTGGCATTCCTTGCCGTGCTGCCTAGCTAGCATTACAGGAGTAAATCAAAGTTTAAAAATATCTACCACCGTGTATCCCATTTGAAAGTGGTAGTTCTCTCTCTAGATAGATAGATATATTTCTGTTTTAACTTACAAGTATGCAGTCACTGACCTGTATGCTGAAAGCATTTCCTTTATTGACCTAATTTAATGGATCAGTGACATCATATGAAATTAGTATACTGGTGACATCAGATGAGTCAGAGGGGAATGCACGCAAGCAGTGTTAACAAGTAGAGATAGTAAGAACTTGCTGTCAGTGCTTTGTTCATCCTAGTGATAAAAATTATTTTATTTTCTGTCTCTTTCAGACTTCACTATGATATTGCCTTATAAGTTTTGTACACTGAGCAAAATTATAAACGCAACACTTTTGTTTTTGCCCCCGTTTTTCATGAGCTGAACTCAAAGATCTAAGACTTTTTTTTTTTTTCTATGTACACAAAAGGCCAAGTTCTCTCAAATATTGTTCACAAATCTGTCTAAATCTGTTAGTGAGCACTTCTCCTTTGCTGAGATAATCCATCCACCTCACAGGTGTGGCATATTAGGATGCTGATTGCACAATAAAAGGACACTCTAAAATGTGCAGTGTTACTTTACAGATTTAACAGATTTAGATAGATCTAGACAGATTTGTGAACAATATTTGAGAGAAATATGCCTTTTGTGTACATTGAAAAAGTCTTAGATCTTTGAGTACAGCTCATGAAAAATGGGGGCAAAAACAAGTGTTGTGTTTATAATTTTGCTCAGTGTATTTGTTAAAACGGAGAAACACTTACAAAATTCTTGCCTGGGTCTTTTGGTTTCCGACACAGATCGTCTGCCACCTGTCTCCAAATAGCACTGATCATTTATTTCTCCTGTATCCGTTCTCATTTCCAATTTAGATTGTAAGCTTTACAAGGAAGGCTGTCTACACCATCTGTCTGTTTTAGTATGTCATAAATATGTGTATCTCTCCATTGTAGTGCACAAATTATTATACTAACAAGGCTTCATGGGCCACAAGAAATCAATAGACAGTGCTCACTGCTTCTCCTCAGCATTCACAGAGATGCTCACAGTATGAATAGGAAAGTGAATTTGTCTGGTTTCATTATTTTACAAATATACAAAGCTGAGGCAACAGGCTGGCCACATGCAAGCAGACACACTTTATTTTCTGTCGTACATGACACCTGCGCAAGGCATTACATTTTTTTTTTGTGGTAATTTTCTCTTCATAAGAATTACTTTGAAAGAAAATATCACCAAAAAAATTCACTTTACTACTTAGAAAATGTGTTTTTGTTTTCATTTATACAGCTCCATTATATCCCACAGTGCTTTACAATTTTAATGTAGTGGTACGACAACAAATAAGAGACAAACTAATAACAGCAAATAATAGATCAACTGTTGCAAATGTTAACTACTGAACACACTGCTTGGAGTTTACAATTTAGTATTATTTAATAAATAATACACAGCCTGAAAATTTCAAGCATTACAAATTAAATTATTTTGGTATGTCTGTTTTTACTTATTTTCACACAATTTGGCCAGTTATCAAATCCTCCATTTACCCATATTCCCATGTGTGGTTCTTACAGGTTTTGTGTTCATTAAAGGCACACTATAGTCACCAGAACAACTACAGCTTGTATAATAATGTATATTATAGTCAGTCTCTTCATGTTATTTGCACTAAACTTTTCAGAGAAAATGTAGTGTTTACGTTACATACTAAGGACACCTCCAGTGGCAACTCCTCATGTAGCTACTAGAGGTACTTCCTGGGGCAGTGCTGCACAGTGTGCAGCATTAACATTCAGTGTCTCCACCCTCTGCATGGAGACATTGAACTTTCTCCATAGAGATGCATTGATTCAATGTATCTCTATAAGGAGATGCTGATTGGCCAGGCTGGCATTTGGCCCTGCCCTGTCTCCTTGACGATATCTGCCAATCCAATGCTTTCCCTATGAGAAAGCATTGTATTGGCTGATATCATCAGTTCTGAGGATGTCCGCCAAAGAGGTGGTTTGGGAATCTGTCCAGAACCGACAAACTGAACATAAGGTTTTTTTGTAGACATCTTGGGAAAGTTTTTTTCCATATGTAACACCTGTATGTCATTAAATTGTACTCCATGCATCTTTGGATAGCAGTTGTTAAAGGCAAACTGTCACCTCACATAATTTTCAATATTATGTTCATTCCTGTATTTAACAAATATGTGATTGTGAGGTGTAAAAGTTAAAGGAAATTAAATGTTTATATGTCTCTTTATCCTGCAACTGGACATTTCCATCTTGGCTTTCTAACAGGAAACAGGATATCACCTTAAAAAAAAGGTGAACTCCAATTACAAGTGATTTTTCACTGTTTTATGCAGTGGCGTAATACACAGAGAAGTAACGATCCACCTTTAGCCGCTCATGATTAGGTTTTTAGCACTGAAAACCTGAAGATGTTTGAATGCGCCCACATAGAATAACACGCTGTTCTTATTTATTGGTTTTCGGGTTGTGGTTTTTGTTTTTTTTTGTTTGTTTTTTTTAAACATGGGACTTTCTTTGTTACATTATATCAATACTTTGACTATATTATGTGTGTATTTAATATGTCCATAAATTGCCTGTTAAAAATTGTAAGCAACTAGTGTTGTTAACGTAAAATACCTCAAATTGGAGGTCTGGAGGAACGTGCAGTTATGCAGCCGTCCCTGGGGTGCTACAAGCTTGGGGGCTTATAGCGTGATCACCCTATGGGAATCTTTTATTACGTGACCAGTTGGGTGCCGTGGCCATTCAGCAGCACACCAGTCTGGGTCCCTGTCAAATCTGCATTTCCCCTGCGGTGCTACAGTTCCCCTTAGCATACAGTAACTGTGCAGGGAGGAGAATAGGAGTGGGAGAGGAGGGAGAGAGCCTAGGCCAGACTCAGACTCACACCAGCCTGCTCCCACTGAAGCCCTAGGGAAGACACTCTATTACACCCAAAAGGTATGGAAACTGGAGAGTAGCTAACACATGTAAACTATAACTTGTGTATATATGTGTGTGTGTCTGTGTGCCTCATTTTGTGTATCTGTTTGTATGTGTTTGTGGCAATGTGTAAGCAGTGTTGTCTTGTAAAGGCATGTATTTATGCACATATACACAAACACCGCCCTACATTCAGACACCAACGCTACACATAAACATAAAGTTGCTCACCTTTGCATGCAACCACTTCACATACATACATACATGCATACAACAACATGCTTACATTCAAACATACACACTGTTTAAAATTTCACCCCCTCCAAGGATGGACAAATGGTAAATACTCAGATAGGAGTTGTACCACAGTTGATGATCTCCTTTTTGGTTGCCCTTATTATGTAGGAGGGAACAAAAATATTTTTCTTGCACTGGTGTCCTCTTTTCATTTGTCCCACCACACTTTGCACTTACATGTGTTGCCTACACGTTGTTTACTGATTGTTTCCATGCATGCAATTTATTCCAGTCGTGCTTTGAATTTCTGTATGTGACGTAACAAGCATGCAGTCTTGCCGGAAGGTATAGTCATCAGAAAAAATTGTTAAAACTACAAATACAGAAATAAAGAGCAGCTTACATATGCAGACGCAACATCACCAGGTAACACAAGCCCTGGTGTGTAGCTACCTGCAAAAGTGTTAGTTAAAGACGAAATGTGTAGACCTCTAGTCCATTCTACCTACTACACATTCAGCACTGATTCTCCAGCGTGAACTCTCCTGCCCGGCAACGATTCCCGGGTGCAGAAGTTTCAGCCGAAGTGAGCTTACACACATACCTTTTGGCAGGCAGATCGGTGTGCTCCTCTAGCTTGGCGTGAGGTGTGGCGAACAAGGTAAGTTGCTCTAGGTAACTCCCAGAGTTTTCCCGACTTGGGGTCCCAGTGCAGCAACCTTAGCCCTTCCTTATCTGCTTGGTGGGTTTTAGAGCTCCCTGCCACCGGGTATTGCTTACTTTTTTTGATCATTTCGCTTATGGTTACGGATAATCCCTTTTCATTTTTTGATTCAGGACATATCCAGTGTAGGGGCATCACACTGACAAGAACATATGTGTCCTTCTACAGTGATTATTTGAGCCTTGCTATTTTACTATTAGATTATTATTATTGCCATTTATATAGCGCCAACAGATTCCGTAGCGCTTAGTTAAGTTAGTTTAGTGTTTAGTGTTATATGTATTTCATGTATTGGTTTTATACCTGTTATATCTATCTATGTTTGTCATAAGTATATGGCTTTGTATAGATTTATATTTCGTATTGGTTAATAGTCCGAGAGTCTTTTTATATTTAGAAAAATAAAAAGCTTTTTATATATTTTTTTTTATTGTTGATTTACATTTGATTTGATCAGACTCCGATTTATGTTTTGCAACATCAGGTGAGATCTACATGTTTAGCTGCATGTTGTCAGATTTCAAAGATTTATGATAGATTGTATCTTTTATATTTAAAAAAAATAAATAAATATTTCATTGGCGCTGGAGTTTAGTCTGAGACTGGTGATTATTATTGGAGTGCTCACATATCTACCAAAATCTTTTATGTAATGCAGGAAATTGTGAAAATGTTTCAAGAGGAGGAATCAATCTTTAAATCACGGGTCGTCAACCTGGTCCCTACCGCCCACTAGTGGGCGTTTCAGGATTCCAGGTGGGCGGTAGGGATTTCGGCGGCGAAATCCTCGTTTTAAAGAGGATTTCTCCTTTTGGGCAGGCGCGAGCGGCTCTGCGGGCGCAAGTTTTCAGTGACCGGCAGGAGGAAGTGCTCAATCCTGCCAGGCCACCTTCTGGACCCGCAGGTGCGGCAGAGTTCTAATCTGAGGCGGCGAGGGAGCTCTAACCTCTCTGCACTGCTACTCGATATTTGCTGATGCTGCGGGAACCGGAAGATGACGTCATATTCCGTCTCCCGATATCAGCAGACAGCCCGCAAGGGAGCAGAGCAGAGAGGTTAGAGCTCCCTCGCCGCGTCTGATTAGCACACAGCCGCCCACCGAAGTGAAGCCCCACTGGACCCCAGGGACAGATCCAGGTAGGGAGGCTGGGTGGACATTTAATATTAATAATGTGTGTGTATGTGTGTCTGTAAGTGTATATGTGTTTCTGTAAGTGTATATGTGTGTCTGTAAGTATATATATATGTATATATATATATATATATATATATATATATATATATGTATAGTGTGTATGTGTGTGTGTATCTGTGTGTCTGTTAGTGTATGTGTGTCTGTCTGTGTGTGCATGTGTGAGTATGTGTATGTTTGTGTTTGTCCGTGAGTGTGTGTGTGTCTGTAAATGTATGTGTGAGTGTGTGTGTGTTTGTCTGTGAGCGAGCAGAGTATTTGTAAAAAGAAGAAAGAAGGGGCAGAGTACTTGTAGAATAGGAGAAAGAAGGAGTAGAGTACTTGTAAAAAAGGAGAAAGAAAGAAAAGGAAAAGGAGAGAATTGTTGTTGACTAATAATAGTAAGTGGGCTACCTAGCTCAGCCTTCCTACTAGGCATTGCTATAAGGAAGGTTAAAAAATAGAAAAAAGGAAGAAAAAAAAGGTGGAGAGGGGAATTGAGGAGGGGAGCTGACGCACAGATGAGAAATCATTTTATGAGCAAACAGAGAAATCGTCTGAATATCACCGAAAGAGGAGACCTTCGTTTGTTCCTTACGAA